CTTCATTCTGCTCATCTAGGAACTGATAAGATGAAATCATTAGCACGCCTAACATGCTGGTGGCCGAAAATTGATGCTGACATTAACAAAAGATCAAAGAGCAGTCCCAGTTGTTTGCATAAAATGTGGTATGGGAAGTCATCGTGGAAACCATGGCCTGTGTCCTGTGAGGTTTGGCAGCGTATCCATGCAGATTACCCGTTTATACGAAATATATATTATTATTATTACTGTGGTCCATTCTTAAATTCATACTGTGCTTTAATTATTGTGGATTCTTATTCTAGATGGCCAGAAGTCATAATTACAGATAGTCCTAATGCAAAATTCACTCACAGAGCGTTGAGAAAGATTTTTAGTCGAGAAGGAATTCCAGATGTCTTAGTTACTGATAATAGTACTCATTTTACTGAGAAGAACTTCAATGATTGGCTTAAACATATAGGTTGCAGTCATCTGTACACAGCACCACGTCATCCTCAGTCTAACGGGTTGGTATAAAACTTTGTACGAATATTAAAGAGTGTCATAGCATCAATGAGTCCTAAGAATTTTGATGAGCTAGAGAGATGTGTAGATAACTTCCTGCTTCAATATCGCAATGCGGAGCATACAAGTACCCATGAAAGTCCTGCTAAACTGTTCAAATCTCGAATTCTCCGAACGCATCTGATGTCCACTCCACGACTTCTGATGTACATTAATACAGAGGGAATGACTATAGACCTTCTGTTGGAATCATACAACGAAAACTGCGAAATCGAATGGTGAATATATTATACATCGAAGATCATTCAGTTCACAACAGACACCTGGATCAAGTGAAAATAAGTGAAGTAGGTCGTTCCGATTATAATTCTAATGATTCCGCTACTAATCCTGGTTTTGTAAATAATTCAGAAATAAGTCCAGATGATACTGATGAAAATAATACCACAGAATCAGTCAGAAGATCCCAGAGACTTGCAAACAAACCGAGACCTCATTATGACTACGCAAGGAGACGTTCTAGGCTGGACTTATCCGGCATGTTGGTTGAAATTTCGCTCGGCAAATTTTTTTGTCAATAATTTTTATTAAAATTTTGTTATATGTTTTCTGGATTGATAGGAATTCTCATTTCCTGGCTAGTTATATTGGTGTCCGCGTCATGTAATCTGACTGCGACACACTTAGCATATTGGTTGTAATGATTAGTGTTTCATGCTGAATGCGTCAAAACATCTCTACAATGAAGAAGATGGGGTAGTTTGGGGGTAGTGTCATCTACACAAATAGTTTATTTCTTGTAGAAGCTGCAGCTTTCGACATAGTGTCATTCAATGAAGACTACGTCAAAATGTGGCTATTTTCGTGTGAAGAACAGTACTATTTTACAAAAGAATGCTATCAGTACATGGGAATCACCTATAAATGCTAACAGAACGTAAAACCAATGTGTAAACGAACGGCTATGGAACTGCAATCCAACATAACCGACTAACATGGACGAAAATAACCTTTGAGCGTCTCACTTCATCAATGACCTTGAGCATGCGGGATAATTTCAGCCGACGTTCTACATGTGGGAAGAACGTTAAAGTCAGTTTCAAGGTCACGGCGGGTTCCTGTGTCTGCTGGTTATATGCTTTCGTGAATTCGTTTTCCACTGAATTTTTAAGGTTTTTTTTGGATGTTTTACGCATTTTGCAGTGTGTGGGTCGGTTTCTGTCCTTGGATGCTCCTATTAAGCTTATTCTTAGCCTGAATTTCCCAGTTATTATATTGGTAGTTAAGGATTATGGTAAATCTGCAATCATTTAGCCATTGCACGTATACAATGCTGATTCGGTAAGATTCCTTAGAAAGTAAATCCCTAACCGTTCTGCCATTGTTGGATGAAACAGTGGCAGAACAGTTACGGATTATTTGCTTAAACTGGAACTGTGCGCTGGTTTATCAGAATGACTGGCACCAATTCAGCACCTCGCTCCTCTTCTACGCATTTTCAGAAGTAGCTTATCAGCCTTACTGCAGCCCTTCTAGTCTAGGTTCTGCTCCTCCCAAGCTTACCATAATGCTGGATTAAATCTCACTAATTCTGAAATAATTCCAACGTTCTGTAGTAAGTAATAGTAATTCTGAATCTGTTCTTAAATAGATTCTTGAATAGCACAGTCTAGAACTCAGTTGTGGTTTTCAGCATGACTGACACTAATTCAACACCATGTTCTTTTTCTAGACATTTTCAGGAGTAGATCAGAACCTACTGGTTTTGCTTATCAGCTTTATTTGAACCCTTTCAGCTCATTCTCAGCACGGACTAGCTTTACTTCAGAACAAAGAGACTTAATTTAGCACATAGTGGCAATTTTTTAAGCTTAAATTTGGAAATTATACTTGGAAACTGTAGTACAATGTCACTGCAAATCCGTCAAGTTAGGTCCACTGGTAGCATCCTGTAAATAAGCAAAATAAAATATTAGTTGATGAAACATTGTGCTCATCACATTCTCAGCATTGACATCCAGAAAAGTTTGCTTACATAACTGCCACTGTTATATCCCCTGCTATCTTTTCCATTTGCCTAGAAATAAAAACAATGTTGTGATTACTACATGGTGACTTAACGTCGACTTATAAAACGAAGCGAGCGTTTAACAATATTATCTTTCTTAAGGTTACGCCTTTGGACACGATCTTTCAAATTAAGAAAGTACGATTTCGTGGCCTAATCCATTATGTCAGCAACCTCTCTCGATGTCATCAGTTGGTCGCTACAGAAATAAATACTTTATTAATGAACCTTACATCTCGTGACTAAATTTCGAACATCTGAATATCCCTAAATTCCTTGATTCAAATGGTGTAGTAAAATCATCACTAAAATCACAGTGGGGGCGAAAGGGTATCCTATCTTCACTTTCCATTTCAACTATATTCCCCGGTTTACCTGAGGCCAAGATTACATTGTCCGGAGAATAAGAAGTAAATATGGCGTTCAGATAAGTTAACTTTCCTTTGCTTAACTGAACACCCTTAGTACTAGCTTCTTTAGGTACATGCTTGACACCTGTACTTTTCATTAAGTACACGTGCTCAACATAACGCTGAGCTGCCTGCTTAGCCACAGCATATCCACAGTGCACGGACTGTCTTATCTTGCGCATATAGGATTCAAAGGGAAATGCACTGAATCCTCCTAATGCCCCATGCAGCTCGACGTCATCCCCCATGTTTCAGAGAATGAATATTATAAACAATATGTTCATCTCGAAAACAGTTCTCATATTGCAGTAAGGAATTACTCAAATCTGTCCGAACAGCATCCAAAAACAGTCGGCTGTATTTGGTAATCGAAAGTAAGTATACTGACGGAAAATTTACCATAATTATCGTACAGGGGGGAGGGAGAATGTTCCTGAGTAGGCGAGACCGAAATATAGTAGCTTTTTAGAAGGACCAGGGTTATTTCAGTACACACTGGGTTCACTTCAAGTAGATAAAATTTTCATTTACCGTAAAAAGGCATTACTGACGCGTTGGTTAGATTTTGCCGAGAATTGTTGCAAGGTTGGTCTTTTAAGCGTCCCACGCTTACTAAACTATAACTCCAAAAGTTCATTCATACCTCACAAACTTATATTCCATAGGGCCAGATGGGTCTTGTTTATCTGAATCAACCCGATAGGATGTGTTGGATTCCTTTCAAAGAAATAATGAACAATTTAGTTGTTACATTCATAAATGTATCGAAAGCTTGCTTAAGTTGCACCCACGTATAAAATACACAACTAAGCATTATTCAAATGAACTGTCGTCAAGATTTGACCGAATAGTTCTAAAATATTTGGGCGCCGAGTGAGAAGTAGACATTTGTAAAAAATTACTTATTTCAATATCGCTGAGATTTTACAAATATAATTTTTATTTGGAATATAGGCATTACATCAGACAATATAGATGACACATTTCGTGAAGTAGAGGTTGCAGGAGTATTTTGTAACGTCATGTAATGGTTTTAACAATGACTAACGAACACAACATTATAATTTCAAGTAAATGAATAATAGTATATATTTCAGTGCCCATAAACCACTATTGTGACCTAGTAAATTTAGCTGATTTATGCTGACCTATAAACCACATATCACAGGCCACTGAACTGATAACTTAAAAGGTGGATCAGTTAATACATATATATGTGCTAATTAAATACTCATTAAGTGTCTAGACATTGTGGTTGAATCACATTCTTCTAGTAAGCGAAAATGCATATGTCCTATTTTAGACCTAAAATATATGTATGAAAATTACCGTTAACTTATATTCACTTACTAAGCATTCTCAGACATCTCAATGAGTCATGTTCGTCTAGTAGGCAAAATTGCACACATCCTATTTTAGACTTAAAATATATGTATCAAAATTACTGTTGACTTATATTGACTTACTATGCAATCTCAGATATCTTAATGTACCTTTATTCACCACTAGTGCATCCAAATAGTGTGTGAATCATCACACTACACTCACACCCATAAAATTAACACGTGATTATATTATGGTAAAGTACGTTCAATTAAACTGCCTGTAAATTTCCGTGTCAAAATAACATTACCGCTTAACTTATATTTTAGACCAATAGGAAGCCAACTAGCCAACAGCCAATCAAAATCTTCCTACATCTATTTTCTCTGTGTTTTGGTTGAGTTCCTGTAATTCGGTCATTGCGAAATACGACTACTACTATCACAAATAATTATCACAACTTCTCTTCCATTAATTTTAGCTTAACGCTTTATGAACTGCGAACCTAAAGTTTTTCGGTGGGTTGAGTTTATTGTTGTCATTTAAGTGAAAAGAAATAGAGAAGTACGTTGATAACGTTCACACATACCTCGGAATGGAGACGTGTATACTTGTTTGGTTTCACCCGTTCTCCCCAAACCAATGGTAGGTAGATGAGTAAAGTAGATGACTTCATTATGTAGAACTACGGGCATAATTATTTTAAAAATATGTATAATGTTAAAGAAACATCAAAAGTTGAATTTTCTTCATTATTATCTTCATTTGAATATGAATTAAATAACTGTGCATTGTCGCCAACCATATCGCAGTTAGACCACCAGGAAGTCGTCGAAACGAAATTCTATGGCGATCGTTTGTTGGGCGGCGATGTGATAACTGGGAAATCTGTTACTAACACAAATTTCGGTAAGTAATATATATATATATATATATATATATATATGTAATTTATTGCATATCCTCCTAAATTAGAAGTGTCAAAAATTATGGGTACATTCTTTCCAATTAACAAAATATTTTTAATTTTCTCAGTAATCTGTAGGCTTTTAAGTAAAGACTCAGCTTCAAATGTCTGCTTTATTTGAAAGCAGCGAAATATTCCGTTATCTCGTAAAATCAGTATAATTTGTCTTACACAGCATCCCAATAAGATAAATTGCTCTGTAGTATAGAGCATTAAACTCGTAAAGAATTGTTGGGTCTCCAGCAAAATGACATTTTCCAGACTATTAATTTAAGACCTTTTTATGGACTGTGTCAGTTTCCAATTATTATATCCCTTTATCGAGTAATCTCAAGTATCTACCTATTGTCTCCTGACTGTTAGTGCTATTTGCCATAAGCGATCTGATGTTTACAAAAACAAGATCTGCAGCGTTTGTGGTTAATTTTGTAAGTACTCACTATTTACTAATATACTTTTCATTTTTCCTAATAACTTGTAGATTCAGATTTCAGCAATGTTGGTCACAGCCTCTTCTCTTTTGAAGTGGACACTAATACACTTTCGCCGGAATTATTCGCTGAAAACGGGGATAACGCAGATTTTGATTGGACATATTTATTACCTGATTCTGGTGAACCAGTGTCATTAGAAGATATTATTCCCAGTCATTTCCTAAATTGTGAGTCAAATAAAGAAGCAGGGCTAAAAGAAAGAACAGGAGTTGGAAGAAGCAATGGAAAGTGTAACAGGTTTCAAAGGAATTCTCTAGGAGATAGCTCTAAATTAGAGATACTGAAGTCTTATTATAAATCAAGAGTTGTGCAACAGAAGCCTATATCGTGCTCCTCATCAGCTCATTATCTTTCAGATTCGAAAAAATGCTATGTACATTCAAATTGTGTTCAGTTAAATGAAGATTTCGATTTACTTGGAAGTGATTACGATAGAAATATTTCCTATGAAAACACACAAGTGGTAAACTTAAACAATAAAGATTTGCAAAATGGTATACCTGTAAGTTTCTTCTTTTCATTTGTAATAAACCCCTTAAATTTATGAGTATCCGCAATATGGTCAATATCAGAACTTTCATTCTAACTAATGTATCTTTGCATCATACTGTACCATAATCTAGTGGATTCTTGATCACTTTGGCTAGCTAATAGTGGAATATTGCACTCTATTATGACTGACTAACACCTTCGCTACCATGATGTCTGGCACTCCTCACTAGGTAATAATTACCGATGAAGATATCCTTGTCACAAGTCTCTGAAGTGCACCATACATCCCCAGTCATTTTGATGGATGGTCTACATATCACGGATAGTGTCGTGAGCTCGTACATTTTGTTGGGTACCCTCCACAATTGACCTGGTGCAACTGGGGGTGGGTAGAACCAGGTCTTCCCATCAAAATGCTCTCGTATAGCTTCGCGTCCGTAGTGTCGGTATATGAGTCCTATTCACTATCTTCATGCGTCAGTGGGTGTTCTCACAACAGTGAAATTGTGATTGCGAATATCTGGTGCTTATTGCTAGACTAGTGATAGTTGGCACAGCGGTTTGAACGCTCGCCGACCATGCAAGTGGTCTGGCGTTCGATCCCCGGCCGACGCACACCTGATATCAATGGTCGGCCTGCTAGATTTGGGCTACCGATACCATATGCTGATAATTGCATACATGTACCAAAATACTGTGCGGAATCAAGCTATAACCAAATTTTAGAAGAATCCTAACTCCAGACCTGCTGTATGCATGGGATCCAGATACCGAAAGTATCTAATGGCCAACGAACCTGTTTGGGACACAAACAACCATGAGGATGCTTCTCTGCTACCTTATGTATCGCACTTAAAGTCCCTTAAAATAACGATCTGCTTCGATTTGGGCCTCCAGGCAGTATCACAGTCCCTCACACGAATCATGAAAACAATTCAGTGGAAAAGTGCACTCTCTTGTACTCTCCAGCAAATCGCTTTATTAACTATATATTCAGGCATATATGAGCCATTTTGCCTTGTTTTTATCATCTTAATTTTTTTTTGGTTTCTCGGCTTCCTTTAGCCGTTCGTTATTGATTAAAATTCCGGTCACTTTCTACAGTTTCGTGTTGTTGGCTAGTTAACCCCACAAAGCTAGCTTTCAGTGCGATTCTGAAATCACGTATCGAGTTCAAATTTTCCAACTACAACGTTTGCATATTGGTGCACATCGGAAAACTGGCAGGTCTAATCAGAGCCCCGGAATGCTTCACTGTTGGTGTTTGCTGCATCACAAAGACCCACCTACAAAATCTCAGTGAAGTGTTTCCAATATCTCCGTCTGCAAAACTGAATGTTGTGTTTCATATGCGCTTATCCGGTGACCCTGTGGAGTCGACATCCGGCTTAGCTGGTGTATCGCAATAAGCTCTAGATCCGAAGTCACGTTACTTGACTGGATCCCCACTAACTCGTCTATGTGCTGTAAGGCTAGGTTATTCTAGAGTAAGAAGCAGTCGGTCAGAAAAGCGTTACTTCTTCGTTATCTCTGCTTATATACCGACAGATTAAAGATCGGGTTCAAATAATGATCTAAAGTTTGGCACTCACAACAGGACCTGCAAACATGCAGGTCTACCCAAGGGATCTGGAAAACCTGGATTCTAAATGTCTAGTGTACAGGCATCACAAAATCTGAAAGGGCCCAATTGCATGTGAACTTGATTTAGTTGCCGAGATCCATAGGAACACAGCTGTTAACGTCTAAACCAGGAAGAGAGTTCATTCATCCTATCTTCACCCTTCAACAGATTCTGGAATATAGGCATACTTACCGGCGTCCAGCAATTGTCATACTTCTTGACCTCAAGAAGACATTCAACTCCATCGACTGAGAGGTACTATGGCGATGTTTGGCCGTGAAGGGAATGCTGAGAAAATGCATCGCACTGATCAAGGAACTCTACTCGAACTCATGCAACCAGGTGAGAGCCTACAGAGAGTTGTCATCTGAAGTGGTGACAACTAGTGGTGTCCGTCAGGGATGCCCACTGTCACTATTTCTGTTTAATTTCATCACAGATGTACTAATGCACTTAGTCCTAACTGACTTCAATGACTCATGGATTGACTTGTTACCACCAGGGAATAATCTTGTTAACTTAGAATATGCGGATGATATAGTCCTTCTAGGTGATGATGCTGACAAAATGCAGTCTTCTAAACACCTTGAGAAGAAATCTTCGAATGTTTGGCATGCGGTTCTCTCCTGTCGAATGTAAGATGATGCTACAGGAATGGACTACATCGACTCCTAGCTTAAAGATAAGGAGTGAAGTGATAGAACGTGTTGACCACTTCACTTGTTTGGGAAGTTGCATCAGCACTAATGGAGTGATTACTGACGTAACCCCAGCATGGATACAAAAAGCTCGTGTGGCACTTACCAACCGGCATCATCTCTGGCATAGACGTGATATCCGGCTGTCGATCAAAGGACGTGTGTACTGCTCAGCAGTCCAATCCATCGTCCTTTATGGCTGCGAATGAGACATGGCCATTGAAAGTGGAAGAGATGAAAAACTGGCTAGCTGTCTTTGATCATAGGTGCCTGCGTTTGAACTCCCGTGTTAGGTGGTATAACAGGCTAAGCAATGTTGAGGTTAGTCGTTGAGTGCTAGGTAATGAGGGGAAATGAATCGACTAAGATGTGAAGTTACACCAACTGAGATGGTGAGGACGTGTGTTACTCATGACAAGCCATCCCCTTCCTCGATGAGCAATGTTAGCTGACATGTTGGAAGAGGGGTAGCTAGTGGTGGTCAAACCAAGACATAGCCTCATCAGTCAATGAAATCCACAACAGTTAGTCTAAGACACGTAGGGAGATGTAGACTTCCTGGTTGGAGTCTCCGGGATGGTACGAACCAATGGCTGTAGACAATTGGTGATATGACTCAAAATCGTTCTCATTGACACAAGTGCTTTCACTCTTTGTGATCTGCCATACCCATTACACCCTATTGTTTTTTATGTTACTATTCTTTGTTCCTCATGTTTTAACTTATTATCATTCCTACGAATTAATTTTTTTCTCTTTTCTCTTCGTTTGTTTTGTGGAGTGTGGCAACCCAAACTGCCGCACTTCTATGCAAAGTTGTATTTTGAAACCAGTCAGACGCTTTTCTATTGCCTTTTGGATCAGGTTGCAAGTCAAAGGCTGAATGCGTGTGGTGGCCCCTCAAGACAAGTACTTGCTTCGGGTTGGGCGTCCGAGCAGTACCCCAGCACTCGCATGAACTAAGAGATTTTGTGTGGTGGATCTCTTGGTGCCCATAATATACCAAGTTGGAATTTTAATAAGTAAATAATAAATAAAAGTTCCTGCATTTATTCCGCTTGATGAATTTGAATAAATCAAGAACAACAGTGGTTTGTGCAGAATGATGGTACCATATTATTCTGCACAAACCACTGTTGTTCTTACTTTATTTAAATAAATAAAAGGATAAACTCAACTGAGGTTACTCAAGCATGCGCTTTCGATAAAGCTTTTAATGCTAGTTGGGAGCTTGAATGCATAGGTACGGAGTCTAGGCTCAGAGGACAGTCGTGTGGGTGGTCAATGGGGACTAGGTAGTCGCTAATCAGATTAAGGGGACCATCTTCTGCAGCTTTTCACAAAACAAAATCTATTTCTAGCCAGCACGATGAATTTCGAACTACATTTAAGAGGTATTGTCACTGATTTTATTCGAGAAGCATTCCGTTTTCCATGCACTCCTTACTTATTGTCATGGATAACACACATTTGTCCTAATTACGCTAGAACTGCTTTTACTTTCATCTTACCTGAATTAGCTTGACTGTATTGAGTAAAGGAAAACTAGATATGATCAAGAGGTCCTGTATGTATGTCAGTTAATACAGGCCCTGAAAATTTTAATTGGCTAATCTATTTTACGTAAAACATGATTTGTTCTGAAAAACGGTTTGCATTGGGTTTTTACAGGATCATTTTGCGATTCCGTTTTTTCCTCTTTTGTATTTGATGTGGTTATGATTGAAGTTAAAACGAATACTTTTGTTACAACAACGTTAGAATTAGTTGGATTAGAGGGTCAGTAAGGCTATTGGCCTAGCACTCTTACTGACTTGGTTAAAAAACCTATTGAACCTATCGAAAAGTTTTGATTTCACTTGAGCCATCATCCCACTACTTACAATTGATAGCCCACTACTTAAATATCTGCTCATTGAAATAAGACTATCTCTAATATTTTTACGTTTTTTGTTTATATATTTTGTGATCTATTACTTCGCTTTTCAGGGGCAACTGTTAAATTAACTTCGGAAGAATGTAGACTGTTTCAACAAATTGGTTGTCGGTTACCTATGAGATTTCCATTAAGTCAAGCGGACGAAACAGCAACAGTAAGACGAAGGATTCGCAGTAAACTGTCTGCACAAGCTAGTCGGGCTAAACGTCAGAGATATGTAATTGAACTGGAACGTCGATATTCTTTGTGCACTGAGGAAAAAAAACTGCGTCGTTATATATGCGAATTAGAAGAGAATAAACGGTAATTCAGAAATAGTCCTCTATCTAACATATAATCCTCATCCACAGTTATAGTGTATTATTATTATTGTTCCCTTGGGTTCCTAGTGGAACATAGGGCTTCAACTGCACGTCTCCATTTGCTTCTGTCTTGTGCTGTACTTTTCACTTGCATCCATGTTAGTCCATACTGTTTCAGCTCTTCTTCACACGATCTCCTCCATGTCACCCTTGGACGTCCCACTCGCCGCCTCCCTTTCGGGTTCCACTCGAGGGCCTGACGCGCGATGTCACCCAACGGCCTCCTCGGCGAATGTTCAATCCATCTCCACTTTCTCCTGCATATTTGCTGAGCTATTGGTTCTTGTTTTGTTTGTTCCCATAGTTTCTTGTTGGTGAGTAATAGTGTATACTTCTCAAAAACTTAGTACGGCTTGGTATTCTAGGTTATAAATCAAATATATTATCTTAGTTTTAGCGATACTACCTAAATGTTGGAAGCTTGGTAGGTGAAGTGCGATACAAAGTAGTGTTCCACTCGTCGTACACCATGTGCTTTAGCTAGTCCGCCAAAGTTCTGTAATATTCACCCACATAACTGTTAATCGCGACAGATAGATAGACTGTATGATAAGCAGCCAATCAATATTATGTGACCTTTTTTGTCGCGATTATTGGCTAATTAATGTAACTCACACCACGTGATGGTGACCTTGAATGTTCTTTTTTGTCTGTCACTCTACTTGTATATACATGTAATTAATTGACTGTTCATTTTGTCCGTACCTTCAATACTGTTCGGTACGTTTTTGTCCGTTTTTTGTAATGACGGTGGATTTGTACATTTTTCTTGGTGTAATTTTATGATTTATTTTATGTTTTAGAAACAGATAAAGTTAAAGTCAAGTTATTCTGTTTTAACTATAGCTAAGCCGAGACTCTGTATCGTCAGTATTGAGGAAGGACTAAATCTGTAGGACAAAAATAATCCTACAAAGTTTCGAACAGTATTGCAGACGAAAGTTATGAAACTATGCCGTCGTTAACTCCACATTTAGAAAAAAGTAATGAAGCTGATTTCCCTGGAAGCAACGAGAATAAATCACATTATATGGTAGAGCTGGAGCTAGCGAAAATGCGTATAGTCCAAATAGAGAAAGGAATTGAATTGGAAAGATTACGACAAGCTAGTCGTGAATGTTCTAATCATAATAAGTCACCTTGCAAGCCTTCTGCCTCGTATACAGTCGGTGTATCTTCTAACGATGAGGTCGCCAGAGCCATGTCCAAGTTTCTGGACATGCCTAAAAGAGAGATCATTAAGTTTGACGGTAATCCTGTAAATTATTGGAATTTTATAAAGAATTTTGAAGACTTGGTGGATAATGATGCCATTGGATATCGAAGTAAGCTAAATTACTTGATTCAGTATTGTGAAGGAGAAGCCAAAGATGTAATCAAACACTGTGTTTTGTTAGAGCCAGAGGAAGGTTATCATAAAGCCCTACAACTGTTAGAGGAAGCATTTGGGCAAAGACATGTTGTGGCCCGAACCTTCATAGAGAAACTCCTAGAATTTCCAAACGTTAAAAGCAATGATGCAGCGTTACTAAGGTAGCTATCTCACGAGATGCAAGCCTGCGAATTGACTTTAAAACAGATGAACTATGTTTCAGATTTGAATTCTGGTAAAACTATTGAACAACTAGTCCTAAAACTCCCTGTTCATTCACAGAGAGAATGGATAAAGGTGGCTTGCAACGTCATAAAGAGCGGTCGCGAACCATCATTTAGCGACTTATGCATGTTTGTTAAGGAGCAGTCAGATATGGCTAACACCAGGTATGGGCTGCTAATCAATGGGCATTCCACGGGAAAAAATAGTAAAGAGTCTACTATCCCTATGAAGAAAAACTCCGATTCTAAACACCGAGTATTTGTTACCAGGCTCTCAGAGAATAATGTCGAAAAACCGAGTAATGATCCTAAGAACGAGTCACGTTTATTTATCCCACCCTGTATATTGTGTTCGGGAAGCCATTTCCTAGACCAGTGTTCAGAGTTTAAAGATAAAGACCTTGATGAACGTCTGGCATTTGTTTCCAAGAGAAAACTATGCAACGTATGTTTAAAAGCAAATCACATAGCAAAGAATTGCCGATCTCCAAGGTCCTGTACAGTTAAAGGTTGTGGTTGGAGACACCATACATTGCTTCACAGAAGCCAGGGATCATCCGACGATATAAAAAATGATGTGCATATTAACGCTCAACAGTGTAGTGATATGACTTTGGACAAGACTCCGGCAAGTGAAACCGCATTCGCTATAGTGCCCATCTTAGCCAGATATAATGGTAATGTCGTTCAAACCTGTGCGTTTGTGGATAGTGGTTCAGACGCAACATTAGTCACAGAAGATCTGGCAAGAGAACTAGGTTTGGTAGGAGCAACTAAGACAGTCTCCCTTAAGACGCTTGGTTCACAGTCTACTTTGTCTTGCAAACAAGTGCAACTGGAAGTCTCTCCGTTGGATTCGTCACTTCATGTTACTGTTTCCAAAGCATGGACAGTAGAGAAGTTGCCACAGTTACAAAGAGTTGTGCTAACGGCAGATCAGATGGCCTCATGGAGTCACCTAGATGGGATAGTTTTACCAGAGGTTAAGAATAAAGAAATTAAGATGCTTATTGGCTGTAACGTGCCAGAAGCTCACGTAACTATCGATAAAAGGCTTGGAGGAGCTAACGAACCTTGTGCCGTAAAGACTCCCTTGGGTTGGACATTACTGGGACCATATAGGAAGACCCTTGAAGAAACTAGCATGGTCAATCATGTCTTAGTCACAGAGAAAATTGAGGACTGTGGTCGTGATCTTGCTTCAGTCCAAGCCTTACAAAGGAAGCACGAAGCATTAGAAAGGGATTTGACTGCCCCAGATGAAAAGATTGTTCAACTTGGAGATGATGCTAAGGCGCTTGCACAGAAGCATCCTGATTCGCAAAACACTATACAAGGCAAGTATGACGCCTTAATCACTGCATGGGATAAGCTGACTTTGTTTTATTACCATTCTAACCCACTCTAGGCACTTTCGAATGTTTAAAATTATGGCAGTTTGTAGTATGATGTATCATTCTGAAGACGACTTAGAAGATAGTAAATCCAGCTAATATATACATTTATCAAAGCTTCTGGTGGTCTCAGCTCTAGACGTGCGAAGTCTCTTACATTACAGCATAGATTTAAGTCAATCACATCTGAAATAGGCGTTTGTCATTCAGGTGTTGTTAATTGGATTTTGACCAATAGAGCAATTATAAATGGAGTGTCAAATCAGTTAGTAATCATAGTGTAACAACAGAAGGCAAGACACGGAAGCCAAGGTATATTTTTCATTAATCAAACCGCTGTTTATATATCTACAGTTTATATTCGTTAACCAATCACTGAGGGTGTGATTTTGGTTCACACTAAACGACATTAAATAGAGTTTTCAAGTATACATAGCATTCTTTTGTTAATGCAGTATATAACCGTGGGAAAAGTCTTCTGTCTCTAAAATCAAGTAGAATGTTCGAATAGATATATTGTATTCTGTTGCTAATGCCTTATTGAGCTGTGAGAATAATATTCCGTTGGTACACATTGTCTGTATCACACCACCACAATAGTATCTGTGTTTGTATTGCGTATTACTTCGTGTACAAAAATGGCATATTGAGTGGATTCCTGATTAAAATGAACACCAGATTAGGTAATTCATTTCACCAAAGCAATTGAGTTTATTCACTTGGCACTGAGGCATGTATATAAGCGTTAACACTGATACTTGATTTCTAAAACTGTCCTAGTTGAAGTAGAGTTTGGTGTCGTTACCTAATAGTTGAAATTCAAGCGCTTTAGTCAACCAGCTACAATTTCATTGATATAAGAATAGAACTTGAGCACTATGGTAGAGTGTAATTCCATCATGGAGGAGATTTATTTGATAAATTCTCAGTGATATACAGTAATATTTACTGATGGCGTTTCGAGGACAATTTATTGCTCTTAATCATATCAAGGCACTCACATGACTTTCGACTTCGTTTACTTCTCGATCCGATTGATAGTAATATTTTCCATATTTCTGATGTTTTCTTTGGCGTTAAGCCTTTTGATTGACATAGCACAGATTCAAGTGGCTTTTTAGGTCTGTGAGGGATATCTATTCTTAAATGTTTCAATAGTCCTGCAGTGACTTCGGAGTTATTTTTCATATTTGGTAGGACTATTTTCTTTGTTTTTATTAGCCGATTTTGAGTTGGTTGGTTGCCTTTTGATAGAGTTTCGTAGATATCCTTTTCTGTAGAAGACGGTCATAGGATATTTCTCCCATAGTTTTATAACATAAGTGTTTTTACGTCAAAGTGGATGGAATGAGATTTGAACTTATGACTTATTGCAAAAGCGTCTAGTGCTTAAACCAATAATGTGCACTCATTATTATCATTAGATGCTTTAGCCTCTCACATTGAAGTCATAAACACTAATATGCTGATTCAGTAGGCAGTTAAAATGCCTAACATTGATAGCAGGAGAGTAAAGAGTTATTTTTTGTCACTGTCGTAAATCGACTAATACTTCTATCTCAAACAAGTGACTGATCAACATATTCCGTGATTACATCTATTTCATTGAATTAAGCAATAATATATACTGTCAGCTGAATATATACCTTTGTTCTGAGGCTATTAGAAAATGTACAGATCCTAAAGGAGCCTTCACCATGAATCTGCATCAGTTAACGAACCACAGAAAATCAAAAAGCAATGGATACCTGTTTAATCGTAGTTTAAAACTTTTCGGCAATGCCAAGCAACAATCACGCTCAGTAATGTTCGGTTCCTTATGTACGTTGATACTTAACTCCTGGTTCAAACTCAGGTTTTCCAACTTATACTAGTCCACATTATATCGCTTAAGTCATTTTATTTTTCACTCTGAAAATATGACGTTCGTGCACCTCAACTCATACGGTCGTGGCTGTATACCACTGAAGATTTTCAAACTAGTACAAAATAGATTTCTACTCTCCGTATGTCTCCATCGGTGATCTAACTGACGTCGATTCGTGATGATGCTACTTGATTATTATCCTATAACTATCAGTGGCAAAGTTGCTTGTAAATTATCCCGTGGTGTTCATCGTAGCTTTCTGTTTGATTTTGTCTTATAGAATTGTGTTGTTTACACCCGTGTTCCAACTTAGTTGAAACTAGAAAAAATCTTAAGCGTTTATACGAAAGGTGTGGGAAGGATAATTGCAATGATAAAATATTTGTATGTCGTCGATTCATGTGGTGACCGAATCTACAGGCACTTTAAAAAACGCATAAATTCAGCGATATGTATATATAATAGAGAAGACTTGCAGTTCAGGGGCATGATTTAATTGCGAAGCTCTCGTCGTCCTTCTAGACAACATCTGCAGCACATGTTTTATTATGGAATGAACTGATTTGAATTCTCCATGATTGATATAATTGTGTCTCTTGACAACCACTGTCGTAATTGATTGTTAATTTACATCTTTATTGATAGCTTTTTGATGACTTGGAATTTGAACTTTGTTGTCATTGGGTTTATTTTTTATTAGTTGGTAAATTTGATCTATAGTATTGTGTTTTCTGACTGCTGAGTACCAGGCTTCTAGAAATCCCCTGGCATTTTTGGAGTTCCCTCTTTAAAGATTATAAATATATCTGTTTGAACTCATTGTTTAGGTGTTATGTGTTAAATCAAGACATTACAACTCTACTAAATAATTTTTGTTGTAGGTAAAACAATATGTACAAAATTCTAAATAGTTTCATTTACATATTTCAGCCGTATTTTAGTATTGGTCAGAAAGAAAAATATATAATAATTTCATGATCATGGTGATCCATATTTGACTTTTTTTAACTCCCACATAGAGCATTTTTCTTCTTGACCAATAGCTTTATATATATATATATATATATATATATATATATATATAACTGTTAGTTCAGGGACCCCTTCCCTTTTTGTTAGGTGAAATAGACCCATAATTTGTAACTATAATGATTTGGTTAATTTATTGTTCTTTGTTCGTGAAAAGTCTCTATTTTGTGTATTTCCCATAGTAGCCAGTAAACGAGTTTGATGATGAATTCATTAAATCCTTAGCTATTAATATCCGCCGCTTGGTTTAAATATCATTGCGCTAATCTGGGGAGTCAGTATACAATTTGAGCACCAAGGTTGATTTGAGTTGTTTATATGACCTCTTAGTATTAACCGACTGAAAGTCAGATACTGATGTTCATGTTTTTAGGCTGGCACAGTCAACACCTAACTCGAAAATGGTCCATCTTACTGTAATAAGCTATAGGTGACATGGAGGTATTTAGAGCTACTGCTTCCCTTGGAGTATAGTTTTGAACTTTAAACCAAGCTTTTGTACATGTTAAGTTATATTTTACAAGTTGGTGATCAGCAGAACCGTTGTTTCAATTAGATAAACGTAAGGTAACGGTGCTTACTTACCATTGTCAATAAAAGTAAGTTTAACTTCTCACCCTTCAGTAAATGTGAACAAGCACAGACTACATTTATAGTTTGCCGTGAAAAATGGAGTGAGAAGCTACCAATGATTAAACAGACACTTGATCTTCAAGATTTCTTTAAGTTTTTCTTACGTCTGTCAGTTGAATTTCAAATGGTGAATGCATTGTTTTGTTTAAATGTTTTCCGTGAAGGTCAATGTGTCTGGTAGCCACAGCTGGTGAGTAAAATTGAGATGACAGCTGTATCTAGTAATATCAGAAAATAAGAGACTTACTGCTAATGTAGCGGTCTATTAGACAGACAGATGTTTTGATGGTTTGGTTCTTAAAGTGACTCGAGCTTTTTTTCTATAACTCCAATTATCATCGTGTATTGTGTGAGGACTGATTTAACAACTACGTCTACTTTAAGTAGTTTTATTTCTGTAGGACAAATTTAACAGATATGTTTTACGAGCATATTCCTGTGAATTCTTTATTGTTTTAACTGTAGTATAAAATCAATTCAATCTTGTTTATACTGACTGTTTTTGTTGTTACATAAACAGAAGTCTTACACTGCACTTGAGCGAATTAAGATCTTATATGAACACATTTATGAACAAGCGAAATGAACAACCTACCATTATTTTTTAATTCAAATTGTAATGGGTCGCATAAAAATGTCACTGCGAGACAAGCAGCTACAGCTGCTGGTGTTACTACTCTACTAGTGATGACATTTATGGTTTTTATGTGGACTGCTCTGGTCCCTCTTCCATCTCACATGAAACAGTTTGACAACACATCTTCAATATCTACAAGACATTTGTTTGGTTTATTTCCAATTAAGATTAAAGTTTTACTTTATTTAATGGTAATTTCCGTCCACTTGGTCGTCCTACTTGTTTAGTTATCCTACTGACAAGAATTTAGAATTAGGTCGGTGGTGTAGTTAGCGTCTATGAAGATGATCCTGAATAATGGCTGTTGGAAATATGCTAAAGCGTAAACAAGTAACTTTACAACAAGCAACAAAGGTTAATAAAACAGAATTTAATGAATTCATCGAATTTCCGTAGAACTCCTCAGCTGAATACTCTTCCACAAATACACTCAAATTGATATACGCAGTTTGAAGTGTCGAGGATTGGCGACTGGACTTTCCCAGATTGTTAAAGCATTCGCTTGGTAGTGTTAAGGAAAACAAGTTTTGCAGCATAATAAGTTTTCTTGATGGCTTTATCGAGTCTTCGTTTGACTACTTCTTGTCCATCATCTCCTTTGAATGGCAAACTGATATAGATAGATTTCTTCGGAACTGTTTGGGTAGTTCTGCAAGGGCTCATTTCTTTAAAGTATTTATTAGTGAACTTCTCAGGATATCCATTCTTAGGTAAAATATCTTTCAGAGCTTTTATTTTATGTTGTTATTATTTATATTAACAACACTTTATTCTACCTCTTATTATTATTCTTGATTCATTTAAAACTATCTTTTATCAGTAGCATTGTCTTAATTCACTTCAGCATTATTATTACTATTATTATAATAACTATTAATATTGATATTACTCTGCTTGCAATTCTTGATATATTCTCCAATGACTAGTTGTTTATCTAAGTGATGTCAATGAAGCGTAATGCATTTTATATTAATTTTAATCTCTCATACTCCTTCTCCCCTTATCTATTTGAACATGACCTGGAAAGCATTTGCACCTGTCTTTCTGCATGACTAATTCAGTATAGTTTATTTGCTTATCAGTCTTAAATCTCCCAATTTGATTTCAATGATATATATATCCCCGTATGTAGAGTATTCAGCTGACGAAATCTACCGAAATTTGGTGAATTCATTAAATCCTGCTTTATTAACCTTTGTTGCTTGTTTCAAATTCGTATCGGGAAATAAATGGTTTTAATAACTTTATGTGGTGGATATTGATTAAAAGTGAAGTAAAAATCTGGGTTGCCGCAGGATTCCAACTGGTGATCTACGAATAATTAGTCGGTCGCTCTATCAGCTGGACTGCGAGACGTAACTACTAGCCAGGTCATTATTTCAATGAAATCACGATGGGTACTATCTAGCTATCATGTGAATGATTGGTGCGCTACTGTCCATTTGTCATGACACTTCGGAAATGCACCACTTTTGAGTCATAATATTTCAAATTAGTCTGTGTTAACAAGTTGAATAAACTATTTAGATTCTATGTTTGATTATGTCGTATTATGTAGTTCTAAGGTGTATACAAATATACAACACAAAGTAAGATAATGGATACCTGGCAGTGAAAACGAAACAGATTAAATATGAATTGCGTCGTTTTGGGCAGTGCAGTCAGTATTTCATGGTGAATCTAGTCACGAACCGTATAAACAGAAGAACTATTGAAAATACGGGAATATTGTGTAGCCACTTTTTCCTATTTCTGGCAAACAGTTCACCATTTATTAGCTTTTGATCCAATTATCAATGCCAAATTTTGTCCAGTCTACAGTTCAGTATCATGAGTAGTAATTCTCCTCATATGTAGTATATCCCTATTTAGTAAGTCTGAAGGTCTCACTGCTATTGATTTTTAACCTTAAGTGATGTATGACTATGTGAGCATTGATAATGAGTGTAAATATAATCGCGAAATTCGTAAATTCAAAGAAAAGGTGACGTGTTCATCGCTAATGGCTTTGCTTCTAGTCAGACGATCAATTTACTAAATAACATTTTGATCTTATTATATTATCTATTTCTTACATTAACTAGGCCGTTCTAGAACATTATTGTCTGTTGACTCAGAACAACTCCGCTCTCAAGATATTCATTTTAATGAATCGAAAGATATTTTATTGCATTCAAGTATACCAAAGAATTCGATTCTCTCTGTTGTTGCTCACAAAATTTCTTCATCACCATCTACGGTAAGATGCATTGGAAAATTTCATTTCTCTTGTTTTAAATTGAATAAATACTTACAGATGCTTTAGAATATAATGTGATATAACTTGACTGTTTGCTGCTGAAAAAAAGCAATACCAACGGTTTGTGTAGAATAAGATAATGTCAACACTTCGTCGGTTTCTCTCCAGCTGTTTATAACCTAAATACATTTATTAAGTTTACGGAGAAATTTTTGGGCTACCTGCAAAGGTGGCATGATATCAGCTAACAGGAGATTCCACAAATAATAAAATGTGTTAGAATTATGTAACATATACGCATTAGGTTCAAGTTTTTGGATACACTGAAGGGCGGAGTTGTGTAATCAAGACAAGTTGGTGATAATTAACTTGTAATTTGCATGATAAATATGAGGTGTTGGTCTCAAATCAGAGAAACACTAGAAAAATTATATCATAGAAAAATGAAAGAGGTTAAAGCAAAGGATTGTGCAATCGGATAAAACGAAAGGTTAAAACTGATTCTTTCTGAATACATTAGTAGCACTTTAAACGTAATTAAATTTTTTCGGTTGCGCACGACTGAAAGGAAACCGATGAAATAGCTGGTGACATCATATTTTGCACAAGCCGTTCTTTCTCTATTCAATTTCATAAAAGGGAGTATGCGGAATGCTTGCTACTGACTTATATGCTAGGCTTTGAACAGTATATGCTACGTATAGAAGCTTATGATGCTACCTTGTCACACAAGTCAGAGTAGATGGGGTAGGATTCAAGCTGTCAACCTACAGTTTGAAAGTTTATCAGTATCTGTTATCTTACTGCTTTTGTTTTATTCCTTCTCTTCCGAGTGAAACAAAGCTGTCAGCTTTGAAGTTTCAGTAGTGATAGTATTTCTTCTTTGTAGTGGGGCTGCTTGCTTCACAGTCAACCTTCCCACTTTTCTGTGAATTAGTAAGCTAGGCGAAGTTTAGGGGTTCTCTTGCTGTAGAACCAAATTACTAGTTGTAATTCAATTGCTAGTGTCCAATAGTGGGTGCGTTTCTTTCTATTTAGGTCTCCTTAGTTGATCTATCTGCATCTTATTGCGCACTAAGATTACTAAAAATCAAGCTCGATACTTATCATTTCAAAAACTGCTATTATCTTCATCTGACATCTTACATTTATATGATAATCTGAAGTGAAGCTAGGATTTTCATTTTCTTGTCTCACTTTTGATTTGGTCAAATCAATTCAACAGACCAATGTTAGTAAGCAGTAAC